CGACAGTTGCGACTCCTCTATGAAGGCAATCCAATGGCGTATATCATTGAGAGCGCCGGTGGTGTGGCATCCAACGGGAAAATACCAATCCTTGACATCGAAGTGAAGCAAATACACGAGAGAACACCGGTATTCTTGGGCTCCAAAGATGATGTCAATGAGATCCTCGATATGTTCCCGAAGTCTTAAATGCATTTAAACTTTGCTTTGATCTGAATTTTGAGCTTAATTTGAGAACAACTTCTAGCAATCAGTAAAATGATGATAATTTGAAGTGACAGTGAAAATAACTTTTTAATGATCTGTTATAATTAATGGTTTTTCTAATAAATACAATATTTTTTGAGACAATCGATTTGTTTTACATTAATTCATACGGTAGATACAATGAACGTAAAATGTTATGAACGTGAGTCTAATAACAATTTGTTGCAATTTCGTAAAATAGATTAAAAGCACTTTTAAGAATTCATTCAAAGAGAGAATATTTGGTTTTTGTTTGCAAATCTTAAGTCAAGATTTGAATATTTCATAAATATATGGGAAAAACAATAAAATATAAAACGACTAAAAAACTTAACAAATGGTTGAATTTGTTTTAATGACAATTATAGAGAATTAGAATTGACTAAAAGGGGCAAAATTTGTATTCACGTATCATAAATAAACCAATATTTCAGTCTATAGTAAACTAAAGTAATATACAGAAAATGCATTTATAATAAATTCTAAAAAATCCTTAAATCAAAAGAAATGTACTCTTAAATTACAAATAAAATATTTAATTGAAATAAAAATGTTAGGACTCAGCGATCAATATCTTGTTTTACGATTATTTCTATTATTGTTATTATTTTGGTTATGGGATCTCCAGTTGTGTTGATTACGATTCATTGCAAGTGATGGTGCGTTCATCGGCGCGAAGTGCTGTGCGGCCACCACTGCAGAGCGTGGTGTCCGCCACTGAGTTGACTGCACATTGGGTTGTGACGGATGAGGGTATGGATGCGTTTGTTGCACAACACTGTTGAGAGAGGGCCGGACGGGCAGTCGCGCCACTGATTTGAGCGGTGGATACGACGGCATATAAGGGGGGACTCTATTGTCGCCGACACTGTTTGAGTTCGTCATGTGATTGTTGTTGGCATAGAGTCTGTCGTTATTAAGATTGTTTGGGACATTGAAGTCATTGATTGGGGTCTCATTGGAGTTGCGTCGGGTGTCAATCACTTTAATAGTCCTGTGATTCTGGGAGCGACTCATGTCCTCGTCGTCCGAATTGCCCAAATCCATGTCCGCCGGTTCCATGATTTCTGATGGCATGGCTGTGTAGTCGTGATATGAGGGCATCATATTTGATGGTGCGATCGGTGGCAGAGATAAGGCAGACATTTGTTGGTTACGAGTGGAGACCAATGGTTGGATGTGTTGGATGTCTCCACTGTTTTGGTGTCGACTCATGTCTGGCATGGGTTGGGAGTAGTTGTAGTCATACATCACTTGACTGTGGCTAACGTTTTGTTGGTGTAAAGGATACAGCGATTGGTTCGCGTAATTCGTAGACATATTCTGTTCATTCATTGGGTTTTGAATCCAATGATTATTATTGGTATAACTATTACTATTATTATCTCTATTATTAGTATTACTATTATTATTAATAGTTTGCATTTGAATGGATTGAATGGATTGTTGACTGGTTTTATGAGTTATTAAATTATCACTCTTTTGGGAGTCATTCCCGTGAGACATACTGTGCATCAGATTTGATAGTCTCTGGTCGAGAGAACTGGCCGTTTGGTGCACTCCTTTCGACGAATCAGAGACCACACGTCTGAGGAAAGCGTTCACATCAGTCGTGAAGACATCCATTTGAGGCAAAGTCGGCCCGTCGTCTGAGTTGGTCGGCGACGGCGCGTCTCTCGGAGGCGATGGCAGAGGACTGGGAAGCGAACTCCGACTCTCTTCTAGCTTTCGCCACACATTCTTCACTCGGAGACCGAAGTTCTTGTAGGCGTCGACCACTGTCTTCGCCTCTTCCATCTGAGTCTCGTAAAAGATTTCACTCTTTTCGAGGCTTTCGATTAAATCGCTTCTCGTGTGGACCTCTTTCTCGAGCGAATTGATGACCGCTTCCAGACATTTGGTCGCGTCGTCGAAGTCACGGCTGAACTGTTCGCCGTGTGTTTTGTCCTTCAATTTGTTCAACACTTCACCACTGGTTGCGTCCACTTTGCAGTTCACCAGAGACTCCAACTTCGATGCACTCGTCTGTTCAGACTTCTTGGTCTTCTTAATCTTGTCGATCAGTTCCGAGAGTTTGAATTCGGCCACAATTTTCGACACAGCGGCCAAATGCACGCTCTTTCCCGACAACAAACCCCTCAGCTCTTCGATCAGCTCTTCGCTGTAGATATTCCTCTCGAGCCATATGTTGAACACGCGATCAATGGATGCACTGATCTTATCCTCTATGCAAAGAGCGGTGGCTTTCTTGAGATAATCTGCAAAGTGATCCACGAGTTGTGGGAAACCCTTGCGTTTGGCGTGTTGTATGACATCGTTTGCCAAATAAAAGAGTGTCAATCGATGGCTCGATTTGGCTGAAGACACGCACAGACACACGTAAGACATGAGACAATCAATGGTAAGTCAAAGACATGAGACAATCAATGGTAAGTCAAACACATTACAAACCTTTGTGGAAGCAATTAAACCAAATGTGAATAATCCTCTTGTAGTGAGTCTTGTGGTGAAGGATCCAAAGTGAGAGACCTTGGATACTGTCCTGAGAATTGGTCACAACTGCCAACTTCTTCTCCAGACTGATCTCATTCAGTGACATCTCAGACCATAACAACTCATTCACCGATCAATCAATCAATTCTTGAGCTAAAAGCGTCTCAACACAAGTAAATCACCGAAATTGGGATCAATTGTCTGGAGAAGTGGTCATCACTGAGTGGTGACACTCGTGACACAAACAATGCATTCACTGATAACACACACAATGAGTGATATATTCATGAATTCAATTAATTGTTGTTTAAATTAATTATATTTTCGCCATATTTTCAATACATTGCCAAATGTTTTGTGTTTTGTTTGCACCCAAGTGTAGAGGTGTTCACCGGACACACAGGCATTGCT